CAGTCTCAGCTCTTAAGTGGTGAATGAGTGTTCTGACTTGATTGCATAGATTGTTTTTTCTGAAGAAAATGGAGTCGCCATTCCTGGAGGTGCAAAAGGAGCAACTGGATGTGGCACTTGATGCCATGGTTTAGTTGACATCAGTCAAAGGTCAGATTCTATACTCTTGGAGGTGTTTTCCAACCTTAATTACATGAGTCAATTACTTTGTGATACTGCATCACAGATTTCCTTTGCAGGAAACTAGAAACTTCAGTCATGAAGTTCCCCAGTCTTGTAGCCACATATCAGTAAAATTGATGCCATCAAATAATTTTGTTTTATCTTTACCTGGCTATCAARCAACAACTAACAGAAGCTGGGCAAGATGAATTTTGATGAGAGCAATAGGAATTAAATTGCTTAAGCCYGTAGCCTTCTAGAAACCAACTTTGCACTTACTTGGTGTGTTACTGATGTAACCATACCACAAAGTAAAATTTACTTTTTTTTTTATACTGCTACTTGAAAGATCCTGAGTTGTGTCKGCTTTCCCTTTGTCTTGGGAGATTGAGAATAGGATGGTGGGAATTTTAGTTTTCAAAGGAAGGATTTTTGCAGATCATAAGGTTCTGATTTATGGCTTAGCGAACAGTCTTTCTACCAGCTTCCTACTTTCTTTCTGGTGTTGTCCAAGAGAAGTACTTTTTGAGGAGTTTGCACTTTTTTTTTTTTTTTTTAAGAATCCCCCATGGGGGAAATCTTTTGTCAACAATGGATATTGTTGAGTTTTGGATGTTTATTGTTGTGTTTTCTTTTTTTCTTGCAATCTATTTAGAAAACAGTCTTGGATCTAAGGCTCTAGAACTTCAGTAGTCTGCTCAGGGAMGGAAACACTTGTTATTATCCTCGAGTGAATTCTACATGGCATTGATTGGAATTTCAGCAACTTCATATTTAGGGAGTTAAGCTGGAGAAAGCATATTCCAAAATTACTATAGCACACTTGTAGTCCAGTAGTGATTCGAGTGGAATAAGAAGTCTGACATTTAAACCAGCTTGGCTTGTATTTCTGTCATTAAAAGAATGCATTATTTCAGTCTGATGTGTAGTAGATGGCTAAAGAGAGGAGCACCTGATGATGTGAGCCTTACAGTAGGGATTTTGGACTTCAAAAATATTGATTTTAATTCAGATTGCTATGATAGCATTCTGTGAATAACCAAGTTTGATGATTCAGAGTGTTTTGTTCCCTCTTGGAATATTGTTTATCTTCTTGCTGCCTTTGGGATGCTTTCTTAAGTTATATTAGTCTTGCATAAGGAAACTCAAAACTTTTACTACCCAGGCTGCTGATGTTTTCCAAGGATTTMATTCCTTTGGCTGTTACACAGTAAAGCAGAAAGTACAGAATTACTGCTTCATTTGTAATTTTCGTCTAGCAAGGAGAAATTTCCAAAACTCCATGTGAAATCCTCAAAAGAACTCTTTCTTGCAAGCATCAAATTTTTTACATAAAAAGCACACWATAACCAAGCTTCTCTAAGGCATCTAGACATCTAGATAATGTAATTGAGGTTGAGTTGGGTTAGTAGTGAAAAGTCTGAATGAGAAAAAATCTGGATTTGAATTTAAAAATGCCTAAATTCTTGATTAAAACTGTAATTTAATGATTTCTCTCCTAAGTACTATAGACGTGCACAAAYAATTTCTATTTCTCATGACTGATACATGTGTGTATGTATATATGTATTACATGCAAAAAAAATTTAAAAAACCTCATACAATTCCAAACTTGTTTATGGGTTATTTTTGGGACTAGGATTTTAAGGAATTCCAGATTCCCTATGAAATTACTGACAACTAGGTTAGTTGCCCAGTTTCGTGTGTGTGTGTGTAATCATGCAGCCATATCTCCAGACTTCTCTGCAGCCATGGGACCATGCGGGGCCCCAAAGCAAACTTTTGTAGCCAGGAGCAGGCTGTTCCTGTGGGATCAGTTCTGCTGTTTCTGTTCCCTCTGCCCTTTGGAAGATCAAGGGCCAGGAGCAAGGCCTGTCAGTGAACCTTTAGTGAGGTACTGGGGTTTAGTTCTGAGCCTGCCCAGGGAATCGTGAGTTTCTAATCTGAGCCTGGATTTAAAGCTCTCATTCAGTATTTCTTAACTTCCCCAAAAGCTTGCACACAAGAAATGCATTGTTCGAGGGAGGAAGGTCAGCTGCCTGCTACTRAAGGTCCCTTCCTACTGAAAGAGCAGACTGGAAAGGTTGGCAGCCTTTGATCTCACAGCATTGATGCCTTCGGGGACCTTCTGKAGACAGAGTATCCACTACTTACATTGAAAATTTAATGGGCAGGCTGAAAAGTGAAAGGCCTCCCTTTAMCTTGTGTTTTCCACTTCTAGCTTGTGAATGTCCTAAGCATAGTTTTGTATGTCATGTTATATTAATGACCTGAATTGAAGACGRATTGTGGCAGAAGTAAACATAATCAATAATTAGTGAGGCTTGGCCTACAAAGGTGTAAATGTGAGGATGAAAGACAAGTCAATTCTGTAATCTGGTCTAGTGAAAAGTGTCCCTGCCCACAGYRGGGGTTTAGAATGAGATGATCTTTAAGATCCCTTTCAACCTAAACCACTCTATGCTTCTGTTTTGCAGCATGTGCTGTATKTAAAAGATCATCATCTTACTAGATAGAATAAAAATTTCAGCCTTGATTGCGAAGTCATGTGTTTAAAGATTCATGATAGTATCTGGACATTACTTTGTACAAGTCATTTTCTCTGCATTTATTTTAAATGACCAACCCTCCCTTACTAYACTTGTTTTGAAGACTGAAATTGCACTTATTAAGTGTGTCTTGTTTCAAGACACCAACTGAAAGCCAAGCCAATTCTGAAAGGTGGTTCTGTAAGGGAATGTGAACAGTCTTGTAAAAGAACATTTTTTTTCCTATATGATTCTTCTTTAAGAATGAAACTTATTTTGTCTGTTGTGATTGAGTCTTTATGCTGCCCTTCTTAATACTGAGGCCTGCAGTGGAATCACTTTGAACTGTTSCTATTTCTGAATCATTTCCCTACTTGAACATTGCTAAATATTCACTTTGTACATTAATGCCAAAGCTGTAAGCAAAATACWCTAGTTCTCTGTAAAGTAATACCAAGTGGTTATAATTCTCAAAAAATTAATGAGTGACATGACCTTTTGCAGAAATAGGGCTATTCCCCAACTAGGAATGCTGCATCCATTTTATACTCGTCAGTAATGCCTCAAAATGTAGAATGCGTAGTTTGCAAGGTCTTTGTAATATGCTAAAGTGTGCTATTAATATTGGGAGATACACTGCCAAGGACTTGGAACATCAGTTGTTTRTAAATGTTTTATGAACTTGAAGGTTTTAAAGAACTGTAGCTTATACTGGAGTGCTGCTTTTAACACCTCACTGTTGTTTGACTCTTCATAATAAGTTTCATCACCGCTTGGAGTTCGGCTGAAACAGTAATGAATTAGGTGATTCTTGGCTTTTTGTTTTTTCAGAGTTCATTTTCAGTTCTTTATTGAAGTAGGCATAGAGGAGTAAATGCAAAATGTTATTTTTGTTTTGGCAGCTTGATGGTATACTTGGGTGGCTGACAAGTTGTGGAGCTGAATTTCTAGTTCTGCAGTGATGCATTTGGCTGCTGTGATACATCATCTCTCTAAAAGATAGGAGTAAGGCAGCAAAGTATCAAGAAGATTTGATTCTTAAAGATTTCATAACTGCCTGTGCTCAACTTATTAAATGTAAATGCAGACTGACAACATGGGTACTTTAAATGGGAGTCGAAGCAACCTAAAAGCTAGGCCACAAATATTTGACATAAGTAGGTTGTTACAAAGTACATTGTACAACGTTGCACTTGGTAGTGTTCCATATTAGGCTTTTCGATGTGTTGGTCTCTTTTGATCAGAGTTAATTTTTGTCAGCTGTAATTAGCCCTGAAAATAATAAAAAAACTACTCAGTGTGAACAAATCTTGGCTTTTGTTTCTGTAGCTTTAGTCTTGGAGCCATGGAGATTTTATGTGACTGTGCAGCACCAGAGATAATGTTTTTTAAGTGTCCTTAACTTTAAAAGTTGAATAGAATGATTTATCAAATAACTTATCATTGGGACATGGGATTGATTTGATTGATTTGCATGTGTAAAATCTATAAAACTGTGGTGTGATTACTGTATCAGTGTGCCTGAGAAATGATCTGAATATATGGATTAACCATAACTGTGTATTTTATATTGAATTATTGGTACAAATGTTTGAATTTGCTTTCCAGAGCTGCATATAAATTGTTAAAGCATAAATAAAGATAGTTAATGCCTCCCARCTTCCCCATGAAGGTGGTGAAGCCCTGGCACAGGCTGCCCAAAGAAGCTGTGGCTGCCCTGTCCCTGAGGGTGTCCAAGGCCAGGCTGGATGGGGCTCTGAGCAACCTGGGATAGTGGAAGGTGTCCCTGCCCATGGCAGGGGGTGGAACTGGATGGGCTTTAAGGTCCCTTCCAGCCCAGGCCATTCTGTGATTCTGTGATAATATGCACTTACTAGCTAATAGTGAGGTATTATTATATATATACATACTCCATATATGATACTTTTGTAGTTTGAGGTGGGGCAACGTGTGCMCTTGGAGATGGAGAAGAGGGCAGGACACACTTTATTGTTTTCCTTCCCACATCAGTAATGAAATTTCACCCATGGGTCACCTGTGAGTAATCTGCAGGATGTCCTAAGCCCACTTGGGAACAGCTGAGGAATAGGGCAGCAGTTCCTTCACGTGGTTGTGTCAGTGCTGCTCAGAATTCCAGAGAGGAACAAGATTGATCCTGCATCCAGGATTCATTGTTCAAAGGATGACAGGCAGCAAAATGTGCAGTTGGACCTTGCTTCACCTGGCCAGGTCAGGAGGGACACAGGCTGTACCTCAGCAGGCTTCTGAGTCTGAACCTGCTCCTAATGGGCCATGTTTGTGTCTTTTCAGGGTGTTGATGATGCCTTCTACACATTAGTTCGAGAAATCAGAAAACACAAAGAGAAGATGAGCAAAGATGGYAAAAAGAAGAAAAAGAAGACAAAGACAAAGTGTATAATTATGTAAATACAGTTTATCCTTATTCTTAAGAAGTACTGAAGTAATTTTGTACATTACACTAAATTATTAGCATTTGTTTTAGCATTACTTTACTTTCTGCTTCATGATCCTGTTAGCTTTACCTGAATGCTTGTTTTAAATGACAGTGGAAAACTTCATTCCTCTTAAAGTGCCAGTATTCTTTGACTGTTGGTTCTTGAACTAGCAATGCCTGTGAAAATAAATTTTAAAAAAACAACAAAAAAACCAAAACAAAGAAAAAAAAAACCCACCCAAAAAACCTGAGGACTGTCTTAGGACTCTTTGGTGCATGCACAGTTGCTAACTTGCTATTTTTCTTACTGATTGTGAACTTCTGTTCTGTGTGCAAAGCAAACAAATGATGATCTACACATTCTAACATCCCCTCTAAATATTTGGGTTTATAAATTTGGTTGGGAAAAAGGACTAGTTAGCGAAAGGAACTTTCAGCCTTTCCTTTATTTTAGACTGCAATAGAGAGAGACCAGAAGCCTTTATAGTCTTCCTGTAGATTTTGCTTCTAGGCATCTAGTCTTGTAGCATTTCAGATCAACTTTAATGAATGTAAAGAAAAAACTTTCAAAAAAAAAAATCCACTGCAATTTGTCACGGTCGCTCCTTAAATACTCTATTTTTTCTATAAAAAAAACTTAAAAAAAAAAGAAAAAATTTTAAAAAAGACAACAGTGCACACCTGGCAATGGAAAAAGTAAAAGTTCTAATTAGGTTGATTTGCTGTTGTTAATGCATCGCTGTAAGAGCTTCACTGACTTTTTGTGTCTGAAGAGCAAGGTGAAATCCCCCTGTGTCAAAGCTTTGAGTAACTGTTCAGTAGGGTCAGGATTTCACCCTGAGTGTCCCCAGGAAATACTAGAATGCCTTAACAGAGAAGTTGATTCAAATTCTGTGGTTAGTTAATTCATACATGGATCCAGATTTTACCATAAGAATTAAATCAGAATCAATCCTAAATTACATAGTGGAGTAAAACCATTCTTTTTCTTTTTCCCCCTCAAGAGTGGCATTAAATATTTCCAGATGCCTATTTTGTGCAAAACAGGGGAGAAAATTCAAATTCTAGTAACATCAAATGACTGAATGAATGAGTYCATATTAGCTGCTTCATGCAAATAATTTGGAAATCCACTATGCCATGGAAATGGTGTGGAATTTGCACAATCTGTCAGCATAGAACATGGTTTCCAGAGTCAGTGTTGTTTGTGTGATGTCTGTGAAGTACTGATTCAATGGTTGGTGAGTGGCATACCAGTGTCTAGACCATCATGAAGCTACACCAAGAGTTTAATGTTGTCTTTCTCTGTGATTAAGTTCTCTTGTGATTTTTGTTCTTTCCTCCCCTGCTTTTTTTTTTTTTTTTTTTTTTTTTTTTTGGAATTAATGCAGGATTTTTGCAAGAGCTTTCACTTTTTGGTACTGCAGTAGGCTAGTTATCCACTGAAGTACGAACCAGTAGTTCCAGTGTTTCCAGTTCCTGGTGTCTCCCTGTAAATATGGAGTCGTTTGGTTCAGTAGAACTTTGGTCCCTGAAGGTGCACTTCTTCACAGCAGCTAACTCAGCTGCAGAGTGACACTGCAAGATGTGACTCTGGTGGACCCAAAAAATAAAATGCAAGACATTGAAATAGAACAGTTCAGGACACTGGAAAATTTGGAACAGGGAATAGCAGCATTGCCCTAACCCAAGTTATTCCTAAACAATTCCATGGAAATTTTACACAGGTATGTAAAAATTGCACTGTGTAACTTGGACWGTTTCTGTAAAAAGTATTATTTTGCTTCTACAGAAGATCCCAGAGTGAATGYTGTAGGTGGAGAGCTGCAGAGCTGGCAGGAAGCAGAGTGTCTGAATTGCTCCATATTCTTAATTTCATTGCGTCTGGGAGAAATGGGGCCTTTCCCTTCCTGTGCCCCCCATTCCTACCCTTCATCAAAATCTAGACYCCTCCCCTCCTTGCAGCTTCATTGTGAAATGTAGGTTATTAAATATTCTGAAAAACAGTAACAGGAGAACCTAACTTTATCCTGTAAGGACCAATAAGGAGTAAGAACAGATTCTTAATGTCACAAAATATTTCAGAGCTTCCAAGGTTAAAATGTGTTGGAGACAGTTATTTGCACATTTTATATACGCTTGATAATACATGAAGAACGTAGCAAAAGTGGGTTGTAAGCSTTGAGCAAATGAAAGTAATCTTAAGGTTACTTTAATTTTGGTAACTGAGTCACACTGCATGTCRAATTAGGGCTGGTCTAAAATTCTGATGTTCATTTAACTAAAAGCTGTTCGGAGAATTTGTAGCTGAAATGTTTTATACAACAAAAGTGGATTTAATATAGCTTTACTATRAAGCTATACGTAAACCAGCGTTGGGGTTTTCCAGCAAATGTGAGCTGTGGCTTCCAGTCTAATTAAATTAGTACAAAATCCTCATTTACTTTGAAAAAAAACCCAACCAACCCCCTTCCTTGCCACTGTGGTGCAGTTTTGTCTTCCTATTTGTTGAGATTTGGTGAAGCATGCTGGATTGCATCTTGCACTAGTTGCTCCRTCATCATTGTCCTGCCCTGTTTATGAGATGCTTCCACAGAACATCCCTGGGTGCTGTGTGTCCTGAGAGCAGCTCCTGAGTGAGCCTGAGTCACTGCCCATGTCCCYACGTCAAACTGCCATGTGTCAGGGAGTAACACCTTCTTACAGTAGCTTTATGTACTCTGCTAAATACCTGCATCATCGATTTGTTCCAAAAAGAATTATTCTGACCAGTTTCATTGCCCTGAAATTTTTTGCTATTTTTGCTSTGTGGGCTTTGTTACAGTAACAGGATAATGGGCAATACTGACACACACAATCTTCTGCTCTTGTCTAGACTATAAAGCAATACAATTATTACCTTCAAAGACCATCAAACTGTAAAACAAATCATTGTGTCTCAAGTTTACATAAAGCTACATAGATGGTAAATCTTTCCTAACATTTCTTTATTCCACTGTCTTGTGTTTTCATGTTGAAAATACTTCTGCTTTTTCCTCTTGAGTGCCAACTTCTTACTAGAATGACTTCTTAATGTAATATGTTTACCTGGAATGTATTTTAACTATTTTTGTATAGTGTAAACTGAAACATGCACATTTTGTACATTGTGCTTTATTTGATGTGGAACATATGCAGTGTGATCCAGTTTTTCCATAATTTGGTTGTGTGACCTAGGAATGTTGGTCATGCGAGACATTAAGTTAAAAAAAAAAGGAAAAAAAAAAGACCACTGTTTGTTTTAAAATTTTTAATGTTTTTAGGAGTATGTGCTGTGAGGTGATCTGGAATTTGTCATTTTTTTTGTCAAACTGTACTGCTCCTATTTATTGTAATGTAATAAAAAATAGTTATTGTGTCTGTCCCAGTTTCCTCCTCCTCTACAAGAATTTCAATGGGGCATCCCAAGAATTCCACGTGCTTGGCATTCATTCTCCATTCTTCCTTGTACTTCTTTGGTGCTTCCCCTCTCAGAGCTGCTGTCCTTACCCTGCTCGGTGCCCCTATCTCTGAGGGGCAGCTGCTCAGAGCAGGTACAAGTGCAGAGGCGCTCTGTTGATGTGGAAGGAGTTTTTAATGTCAAATGTGGTGACTGGAACTGGAGCACGTGTGTTTCATCACAAGGTGCTGTATTCTGCCATCATTTTTTAAATTCTGTGCTTCAATCCTCTGAGGGCGGTGCTGTGTCCACCCCCCCCTGTTCCTCAGGCCATGCTGTGATGTCAGAAATGTTTGTTAGGCCTCAGCCGTAATGACGAGACCTGGGCTGACCTTCTTTGCAGCTTATCAGGAACAGTTCCCAGAACTGGTGCTGTTTGAGGAGYTCCTGCTTTGTAACCAACAGCCGCAGAAACTTATTTTCCATGCCCGAAGAATACCCTCAATGGAACAGCATTTTTCCCATCGAAATTTCAAAGTGAATTGTGGTCAGGATGGAAAATTGCTGTGAGTAAACCCAACTCTCCTGTGACCCTACAAATAGTGGTCCAGAGCAACACCCTCGGAGCTCTCCTGGACTGCAGTGGGCAGTGATCAGAAATCTCCCTCTGTGTGGGGTCTCTCAGAGCCAGTAAAGTCTCTAGTTTGCTACATTTGGAGGACCAGTAACAACAGAGCCTGGGCTGCTGTCCCCTTTCCTTGAGGCTCAACCCTTCAGCCATTGAGAATATGTAAAGGTATCCAAGGTAAGTGCTTCAGTGAATTCCAGGGGAATTTTATATCTTGTACATACTCCTTAAAGAATGTGTGAGTGTGGATATACTATAGAAAATATACAATGGGTAGTGCTCTCAGATTATGGAATACTTAAGATTAGCAAGTAAGTTAGGCCTGAGTCAGTTACTGTTGTGCTTATAACAAATTCTATATTAATCTTCAGTTAAATTGTTTAACTGTGGCTTACGTGCTGTTAAATCTTCAGATTCTGGGRCACAGTTTAGCAAGGKGATCYACTCTGAACATTGTGACTTACTGGAAGCATCTTCCTTATCCTTTTAGCCTTACCTTTTCTCATCCTTATCCTTTTTGTACCYCCAGCCTCCACAGAGATAATTTTTRGTTGATTTTGGTTTAGATTGATTGACTGTAGATTTTAGTTTGCTTCTTCTCTGTGCTTTAACCACTTAGTAAAGTAGAGTAAACCTTGTGAATGGACTTTGTCACACTTTCACTTTTATATTAAACCCTGTTTTGCTGATGCSTGTGCTGGCAACTCTTTGAGTGACCTTAAAACTGTGTGAAGACTTAGTGATAGTGTGAAGACTTGCTGCTACCAACAGCTCTACTGCAGTGATTCCTTACCTGTATTTCAAAAACTTTTTCTCTCTCCAATGTCATTTAGTTGGTGGAAACACCAAYCAACCCTACAATGTACAGAGTACCAGCTCTGACAAAATTAGGAGTCAAGCCAAGGCCTACAAAGACAGCTTTGAGCAAACAGCCATGGCCAAACTTCTCTTCCAGGGGCAAAAATCAAGTTTTCTATTCCTGCTGCAGCAGTTACACAACAGCAGAAAGTAGCAGTAGCAGCAATTGTCTTCAGGGTCTGAGTGTTTAAACCACTATTGTTCAAACTCTCCCCTTTCCTGACCCCACAGTCATCTCCCTGGCACAGTCAGGTGGGGCCTCTGCAAGTAGAACAGATGAGCTTTAAGAATTTACTTTCACAGAATCAGAGAATAGGTCAGGGTTGGARGAGACCTCTGGACAACATTTAATCCAACCCCCTGCCTGGAGCAGGTGACACACAAACAAGTCCAGGTGGTTTGGGGATATCTCCAGAGGGAGACTCCAGGCAGCTGTTCCAGGGCACTGCTACTCCCAGTGTACGGAAGTTCTTCCTCATGTTGAGGTAGAACTTTCATTTTACTTTGTGGCCATTGCTCCTCGTCCTGTCACTGGGCACTGCTGTAAGGAGTCTGACACCATCCTCTGACACCCCCTGGACGTATCTGTGCATTGATGAGATCCCCTTTCAGTCTTCTCTGACCTAAAGRGGCCCAGCTCTCACAGTCCCTCATAAGAGAGATGCTCTAGACCTCTCATCTTTATGGTTTCTGCTGGATCCTTTCCAGCAGCTCATCTTTCTTGAACTGTGGAGACCAGAACTGAACACAGCACTCCCTCTACAGGGCTGGAAACTTCACTTTTGAGGGGGTGCTCATTTCCAGTGGAAATGGATCATGCAGTGCAGAGGACTTTCAAAATCAGGTGACATCATTCAAGTAGAAAGCACAACACCTTGAACCAACACCCAAACACACAGCTATGGGGTAAGAAGAGTTTCTGTTCAACACATACATTGAAATGAAACAGAACAGGGCTGTGCAACCACTCCTTCCTGCAAAATTGTTTMATACCTGAAGTTTTAGTTTGAGGAGGTCAAAAGCAGTGGAGGAAAACCTATTATCCATAAAGTGCACCCCCCAAACCCTTCAGGCGACTACTGATGGGGAAGCAAAGCCCTGTTTGAGAGGGAGTGGAAGAATGTACATCTTATTTCTTTTGCAGTTACAGCTCTTTTATTGTTACCTTTGCTGGTTGTGTGTGGTTACAGGCACAGTCAGGACTTGTCATCRCTGTAGTAGCGCTGCTTCATGGCTCGGTATTTCCTCAGGAAGTACAAAGCTTCCAGCTCCTTTATAACAAATTCTCCTCGGGCAATCAGTTGCTTAATTTTTTCAGGGTCTGTCTCATCTTTATTTTTTAAAAAAGCTGCTTTCAACCGCTTTCTGAAGTAGTCTGCTCCTTTGGGATACTCCCTTCCAAGGTACAGCAGCTTAGAGAGAAAAGAATAATGTGCTTTTAATAAACAGTGAAAGGGTTTTCATTTTCTGGTTAAGGAAGGTGCTGGTGGCATTTAAGACACTTACATTTTTGTACAGTTTCACCACTTCACTTCTTAAATTGGCCATTCTCACATTTCGGTGAACTCTCTGTCCTTGCGTGATTTTTTTGGTTTGTATGGGTTTTTTACCTGAAGGATAATCAATTCGACATTAGCTTTCTCTGGGAGTCAGTAAACCCCAGCCTCAGCCTTCCTAAAATTCTGTATCCTACTGAGCCCCCTTTGCTCTAACTCTGGTTCTACRCTGTCTCTTCTGCTTTTAGCTTCTTCTGCTTTTCATTCCATTTAGTTCTTGTTGTTGTCCCCCCTCCCACAGCAACCAGAAAACAAACTTCCAAAAACTTTCAGCTACTGTGACTTTGTGCTGTTCCCACACCCTTACAATTCTCTGCCTACTGGCCTGGCTGCTTTTCTGTTGTCTGCTAAAAACTGTATCTATACAGTCATAAAGGCATATACATAGAAGGCATATAAATATTGCTATATTAATATAACCCCATATCTATTTATGCATTTATAGATTTCTTTATTTTATATATATGCAATATTGCCATTTTATACATGTATATTCCTGCAGCTGTCACATTAATAAATTTTGCTTTTCAAAGAACTCTGTAAGTGCATTATAGAGYCCAGTGTGCACTGGCAAAACATTAAGGGTGAGCGACAAAGTAATTAATTTTTATTTCTGTAAACACAAAATCACAGAATGGCCTAGGTTGGAAGGGACCTTAAGGATCAATTAGTTTCATAATCTAAATTATGAAACCGGGCACCTTCCACTATCCCAGGCTGCTCAGAGCCCCATCCAGCCTGGCCCTGGACACTGCCACAAACAAATCACTGCAATCCAGTGCAGCTCCCGCTGCGGGACCCGCCAGCCTCCTGGAGCCGGGCTGGTCCCTGGGGCCGCCACCCCCGCTCTGCC